CTTTTTTAAGCATCCATAGTTATCCATGGTCCTATACATTGACTCAAGTTCTTTCAACTTCTCATCATAATTTTTCCAGGTTTTACATGTTTTTATCTTCTTTTGTTATTCATCTTTGTTCAGGTCGTTCTATTGATATCAAACCAATGAATTTCTCATTTTTTATTGTTGTTTCGATTGACAACACTGAATAGAAATGAATATGAGCGGAAAAATCCAATTGAATTTTCATTTGGGATATCAATTTTTCTTCTTACATTTTCCAATTGAGATTCCAACATCACTCATCTCGTACATGCCATTTTAATTGGACTTTTATCTATCACCATTGACGATGTTTTTGTTGTGTAACAACGTAAGCGGATGACGAATGCTTCTAAATATGTTTTGAAGAGTTATCATCATGCGCTGATTTTTCAGGATAAAATGAAACGAAAAGAAAAAAGTGCTTTGTGAGAGTTTTCATTACAACATCATCGGCTTTTTTTTATTCATTAGAAGTGCTCTCGAAAGCGCTTTCATCTCAATTATTGACATTGAAAAAAGTCATTTTTGCAAGATATGAAGTTATAGCAAAGAACAAGAATTGTGGAATTAAACGCCATTTTGTAAATCCTTTGTTGACACTTTGTGAAGCACATTGTGATCACAGCATAATGCAAGCGACTCCCTTTTATGTTGCGTTCGTATTATTAGCAGAATTTCACTGCCGCTTATTATGTATTTTTTTCTCTTTATGTTTTTTGTCATTCATCAACTTCTTACTTCCGAAATTACCCCTCTTGAATTACCATGGAAGTCGTCAGCTTCAATCTTTTTTTTTCTCTGTTGTTATTATGATTTTTGTCACTGCTTTGAGCTTTTGTTGTCGTTACCGGAACGAAGCGATTTGTGAGAGTTTCTTTTCATTTTATTATTCATCCGATAGCACCAACAGCCATGTTGAATGAATGCACTTTTCAAAACATGTAAGTCATACCACTCAACTTCTTTTGTTTTCATTAATATTCTTTTCTTCAATCATCAAGTGTTTAATTAAATTCATGTTTTGTCTTCTGTTTTACCTGGCTCGTTGTAAAAAATATTCACGGTTCGTGTAACATCCAATCCAACATCATTATTTTCAATTCTTTGGTTAGAAAAAAATATAAACAATGAAAGACTTTTTACTATCAAGATACTGGTATGAAAAGTGGAATTTACACGCTTTTTTGATTCCAGACTCCATTAAGACAAGCATGGCGGCTTTCAAGAATTGATTGGAGTGTTTTTCGTTAGAGAAAGTTTTTGTCGTCGTTGCTAATTAGCTAATGGATGTTGAAGCACTTGAAGTGCAAATCTCTTATTTGATTGAAGTCAACCGTAACTATGTATAGCTCGAGACTTGAGCAGACGTACATATTTCTCGTCTGGTAAATCAACATCAAATAATTGACATTTTTAAAAATGCCATTTTATTGAATAAATTCAACTTTTCCCTTCCCAGCTTCGAGTTGTTCTGTCATTTTTGATGAAATTTATGTTAAGTAATGTCGCGAGAGAGTAGAAACGACAAACAATTTATTTATTTATTTTTTTCCGGCAATTGAATTGAGAATGGTAAATTGAAAACAAAAAAAAAGTTACGTTTTCATAGCTTTAGGGTGGCTTCAATTTTATAAAAGTTCTTTTAAAAAGAAAGAAGGAGATATCGAAAAAAGACTCTGAATATGGTATATGACAGTTTGAAGTCTTGATTTATGTTTGTGACTCAGACATGACTTGAAAAAGATTACTACATGAAGGAGGGAATCTTCTTCCAGATGCCATTCAAATTTTCTCAACTCTAAGTATTCTAATCATCGGTTCTCCATCTTCGCATAAAACTCAATTGTAAATTTATTCAAATTTTATCGTAATTGAAATTTAATTTTTTATTTAAATACGACGTGAAGAAGAAGGAAAGATTTATTAAGTTCCGAAAGTTAAAGAAAAAGGATAATCGACAAGAGAGAACTTGTCATCAGACTCAAACAGAGTTTAAGCTGCCATTTGAAAATAAAAAAATTACAATAAAAAGTTGAATCGCATTCGCGAATCGATTTCATTAACCTTCTTTATCTCTTATCCGCTTCCGATATATCTGCAACGTAAAGTAATTGCAATCGAAAGCGGCAAACTAAAAAGCAAATTAAATTGAATTATTTATCCACATCTGATATTGAAAGAACTAAATCTCATTACTTTGCAAGCGCACATGGAGAAGCAGAATAAAAAGCATGGTGAAGGCTTGTTAACGGCCTTCTAGGAGTTTTCTTTTCACTTTCTGACAGTTCAGAGTCAAGCATCTAATATGTAATTGAAAATTATGTGTTTATATATATAAGTATTTTAAACAGCTTGCAACATAAGCAAAAAACATTAAATGAAATGATGTGAAATCTAGGGGTGAATTGTTAAAAAAGACTCATACGAAGCGAGAGTTATTATCTGTTCATGTTACACGGGCAGAAAGAGATTGAATAGATCTCCCACATTTTAAGCTTGTTAGTGAACATGAAATCTGTTGAAACAACATGGTTGTTTCGTTCGTTCTGTTTTAACCCTCATCGAGATGTTTGTGTTTGTGAAGATACTGAAATTATCTTCTCCCAAACCAAATGATTTTGAAATATTTTGCGATGTACGTATTCAAACAAAAACGTGTAATATTTCACATTGTATAATATTTACTTGGAAGGCATCAGTCAGAAAATATTTCGGTAAATTATATTTTAATAAGAATTTGTAAGATATTTCTATTTATATAACTCGCGTTATTCAATCGTATTTAAACTTTTAACCATCATAATCAATGTTATGTTTATGACTTTGAAATTTTCCAATTTCTGTGAGAAGATGATTCAATTATTACATCATAAATGTTAAAAACAGTTTCATTAACAATATTTCCATTGACCACAACGATTTTATTCTGTTGGTTCTCCAACTCGATGCAACGACTTTGAGTTTATATCTCGATTCGTTATTATTTAATTTGCATTTTGTCAAAAATAAATTGCATAAGAATTGATAAGCTTCTTTCAAAGTTCAAAATTATTTGAATATGTGCATTTAATCTCTAATTTTAAGTTTAATTGTAGCTATATTTATGACGTCATAATTCTTCACACTCGAGATTGACATGTTTCATTCAACTGTTTTTATGAGAATTAGTTTATAGCTGTCAAGAAATGTATTTCTTGCTATCTTATATTTATAGAAATGGGGATTATTAATCATATCTTTTCATATATTTATTTATGCCATAAGAAAATAATAAATTTATTTAGGTTTTGAATTTTCAAACATTACAAAAAATTGTGTCAACACAATTTTTTGTTTGGTACGTTCGTATGGATTTGACCTCCCATACAAAGTGTACACGAGAAATTTGTCACTCCCTGATATTTTGTCACTCCCTGATATTGAGGTCAAATCCGCGCGAACGCACCAAAGTCGGAAATGATGACTGAGTACAAATAAACATCGGCTGAGCTTTATTCGTTTAATTTTAATTTATTAATTTCTATTCGCACATGTTTAAAGCGCAGAAACGACTAAAATACATTACAAATGCATAGAAATTTCTAGTGGCGCGGCCAAAGTAATTTTTCCACTAGCTGTCGCTAAAGTCAAATAAGAATAAGAATTTCTTTGACGCTCACAACGCCTCAAGCGGTGGTAGTTGGTACTTTTTCTGCTTTTTTCGCAGTCTCGACGTGTATTTACTTATAAGGAGTCATTAACATTAACACTTGGCTTTATATGAGTACATTAATGAAAAAATTGACATAACAACGGATACAGTTTTTGCTAATTATATATTCGATTCTCACGGTTCCTTACTGCGAAACATAAAGTTAACTACTTGCGAATCTTTCAACATAACGAACTTCAATACCAAAAAACCACAATGAAATGCTTTAAGTTAAAATTAAAGTTTCCAAACTTTAATTGCGTCCAATTGTGGTTTATTTTAATTTCTATTAAATTATATTTCCTGTGTTTCATCAACTGCCAAGAAAAAGTCTTAAAGCGTATTAAAAGTTTTAATAAGCCAACAGTCTTTTGATGCGGTTGAAACCTCATTTAAATGTATTTTTATTCTTTTTTTCTTTTCTATTTCGTCAACATAAGTAGATATTATGACTTTCCTATATTAAACATTTATTTTTCAAAGGTATTAGCCAAGTGTCAACATGGAAACAAAACAGGTGATAAACAGGTTTATATTTATATCACGTCTCATAAAAGATTATCTCCTTCTTGCTATCAATCTTCCGACTTATCATATTAATTGACTAAACGGTAAAATAAAAGAAAAGTGAAGAAAGAGATGATGATGGCTATGATTATACGAGACGATATCTTCGACGAGACTGAATACTTATTTGTCTCACTATTAATTGTCACATCGGATTGTTTGTGATGCTTGAGCGTGGTTGTTAAGTGAGTTGAATGAAAGGAATCCAAGAAGCATTGTACCCAGACGACAATGAGATGAGACGACTTTAAAGACGATTCACCGAATGAATTGTTATTTTTTTTAATTTTTCTTAATGTGAACATTCACAGCCAAAGCTACTGGTAATATTCACAATTGTTTGTGTTTTCTTGTGCCTCTTACCGTTCTTCAAACGGTAGCCAAAGATCATGTTCGCATTCTTCTTTTTCCAAATCCATTTTTATTTCGGGGCTTTAATTTTTCTTTTCGTTTTCCTTTCGAAAAAGCAAAAATAATTCAATTGAAAATTTCACATGTTATTTTGACCGACAGAAATACTTGAAATGCCAAAATAATTCAAGCAACACCTCAGAATTCCCACATATTAAAAGTTATTCCCAATTTTTGCTTTGTTTTAAGTTTCTTACAATTTATTTATTTTCACTCAAGCTACAGCCGCTGCTGGATGTGATATAACAATCTCTTCGCTAACATTTCTTTTATTTTCGTTTCGCAAACGACACATTGTATGTGACATCAACAGCAATTATTAAATTTGGACGTCTTTTAAAAACAGTGCGGTGTGATGCGCATTTGTATGCAAAGCTTCATACGAAAATTATAGCGCTTTCCAAGAAGTCTCCGAAAAATGTATTTTTATTGCTGTCCAGACACTTTACTTCAAGAAACCGTGACTCTTGACAAAACTTAAAAGTGTCCAGAAGAAGATTATGTGTTCGCAGGAAAAAAATTTGAATTCATATAGAAGTTCAGTAGCTGTCGGCGTTAAAGTGAGAACAAGAGTTGAGAGAGTTAGTTGATATGCAAGAAAGGCGATAAAACAACTTCAACCAAAACATGTTTTGTCTCAGCTTTTAATAAGATCAAAGATTCTTTTCGTATTCATTCGGGAATTGGAATGGGTACGAGTTGCGTCACAAAATCAGATAAACATTCTTGACTGACATCTAAACCTTTGTTTATTCTTTAAGAACATGAATCGTTAGGTTCACAATAATAGAGCTTTAGTGACGTGACTTAAGAACTATTCGCCCTTCGTGAATTATATTCAAAGCTTTCTGTCGAAGAGCTAGAGTTGAATTTTAATTTGATAATGATCTCTTCTGTTAACGACACGCTAGACACGATCAAGGAAAGTTATAGTTTTCTTACACTCTTCGATGCCATTCAACATAAACATATGTTCAGCTTACAACCGCTCATATACATGTATCAATAAAATTGAAAATTAATAACATGATTCCTATTATAACTATATGCATGCACTCGGGAGGTTTTTTTTAATATTTCATTTCATTTTTTGTTTCTTTTCGGGTCGCACACGAGAATAAGAAGGGAAGAAGAAAGAAGCATAAATGCGATGTTAAAGGTTGTAAACATAAAAATGTTTCATTCATTCTACTCATGTTTACAACCAATTCTCGAAGGAAATTTTGTGATTTCTAATTCACTTAATTCCAAATCATTCATATAGATTTATATTCTTTCCAATGTTATCGTCACAGCGCATTGTGGTTCGTTACGTAAACTTTTTAACTTTGATGAATAATATTTCAACTTTATTTTTATGCCCGTTACGCTTAACTAACTTCATAAATATAGGTAAGAGCAAATATCGCTTACAAATATTTGTCACTTAATCAAGAAGCGTGAAATAGGGTTTTATGATGTGAGGAGTGCCTTAAAGAATAAAATTGTAACTGTTTCCTGTCTTTGTTTAGAGGTTACTCTCAATAACAAAAAAATATTATCGCTGATCCTTCTGAACATCAAATTAACATCATTGAACGGTCGGTTGCTGACAACTTTTTGTCGTTCGACTTTAAGAAATTTTCTTTCACTGCAATTTTAAGTTTCAACATAAATTCAGGCGAGTCTTCCAAACAGTCTTGTGAGTGTTACAAACGAACATTTAAATGAATGTATGATTAAACAATGCAATGCAAGCTTCAAGGAAATTAAAAACAAGCAAATAAATATTCAAACAGAAAATTGAAAAGTAGAAATAGCAAATTATTTATGAAAGAAGTTACCAGATAATTTATAGCAACATTAATTATGTTTTAAAGTGCTAGCTACCATCACTTGAACATTAATATTCATCTGAAGTACAAAGAAATGCAAACATGCTCATTACTTTGTGAGTTTCAACGCTTCAGACTGTCGATGTTTTTATGAATTTGCATAATTTCTACTCATCACTCTGTTGAATTCGCAATACTTACGATTAAGAATTAAAAAATAAAAGAACATAAAATGTATTGAAGCTTTAATGCAAGATGCTACAACTTCCACATTCGATGAAGCGTTGAATCAACAACTTTAATTGGAAACAAAATTACCAATTTGCCGTCTTCCTCGTGATGTGAATTGAAGCTTCCGTTAAGATTTTTCTTCTCAAGACTTCATCTTAAAGTTTCAACTTAATAATTCGAGCCATAAACTAATTTATTTCAATAAAAATTGATTGATAATTGCACATCAGCAGAAATGCAGCATTCTCATAATATTTTTGTGAGGTCCCATAATTATCGCACTTGAGTAAATGGTCGTGATGCTTGTTGACGGTATTTACCAAATTCCATCACAAGGGTGGCGCCTTGTTTGCATTATGCTTGAAACAGCAAAAAAAATTAAGTGATTTCTTGGCCTTTGGCGTTTGTTACTCAGAAATTACATATTGAAGTGAATCTTCCTTCTTCTTCCATTCATGCCCCAGAAAAACAACATAAGAAAGTGCAAGGAAAGCAACAACAAGGAAGACTAATTTAAATGAATCATTATTTTTTATGTTTTCATTGTTATAGCCAAAAATATTTCTTTCTTCCCATTTTTGCATCTTCTTATTCTGGATAGCAATGAAAAAAAAATGAGATGACTCGAAAAACAAACAGAGGTAAAATCAGGGAGGAATAATTTGCAAAACGTGATCATGTCTTCGAAGCCCTGAAACTACAAGAAAAGAAAAATAAAGTAAGAACTTAAAACAAATCTTTCAAAGAAACGTAGACGAGAATTTTTAAAATCAAAAAAGAGAAAAAAAAAGATTTTTGATTCATGCAACATATCATAAATCAACAGGTCGTCTTTCTCTCGTTGCTTTCTGCTTCACGATGTATCTTTTAGAGGTAAAATCTTTTTATCGTTGTTTATTCTGTTTTTTCGGAAGAGAAGAATAAATTTTTGTGTGTTTTGCTCAATGGGTCTGACGCCAGGAACAATCATTCGCGTTAACAAGACGATAATACGTTTAAACTTTGAAGTAAAGTAAGCGTACGAAGAAGACATCATAATTATATGTGTTCGTGAAACATGGTGCGTTTTTTATCGACCTGATGCAATTTTCGTTGCTTATTTGAGTTCTTCTTAGATAATAATTCTCTGGTGTCCGAAAAACGTTGATCGATGAGGCAAATATGTGAATTCAGCAGCTGATTGCAAATAATGCAATTACAACTGCCACTTTTTAAGTTTTCGATGAAAACTTGATTATATTTGTTTTCTTCTATCCACATTCGATAGAACGAAGCCACTCAACAACGATTAGCATAAATCTTTACACCGATAGTAAAACTTCAACAATTGCTAAATTAAATTCAATTCATTTTCTTTACTTTATTTTATTTTTTTCATTACATTTCAAAACTCATAAGTTGAATCCTAAAGTGATAAATGATTACCATCACGAAGTTTTATTGAAATATCGTTCATACACCTATTCAAATGTGAGAGAATCAAGATATGCGCGTTGCATGATTTTCAGCCATTAATAAAAGTTTTCTAGTAATGATGAGTCCCGCTCGTGTATGAATTTCAAAACAATCATCAAATTGAAGCTTTTTAACATGAAAATTAAAAGAATGAAAAAATAAGGGGTCAAATAGCCTCATTGGCTTAAGTCGCTTGGAGTCGGGCGTACAATTCATACGTCCCGGGTTCGAACCCCGACTTGGTCATGAGGTAGAGTGAAGTTTAGATACTTCGGCCCTTTAGTATAAATATATACAAATAGTTACTATTAGTAACAAGTGGGGAAATGGCTACAAGCTCAAACCACTATAAATAAGTTGAATCAAAGAAAAAAAAGACATTGTA